AGCAGCATTGTTCAATGTTGAACGTTGCAATGTATTCGTACCACTACTAGCAGTATTTGTGTGAGATGATGATGATGATGGAAGAAAACTTGACATGATTTTTTTTCGTTTTGTTGTTTTTAAATCAAGAACCAAAAAGAAAAATATTCAATTTATTTATTATGCATCTAGAACGAATATAAAGATGGTGAGTTTTTTCTTGTTTTTTTTTTTTAGAAAAATAAATAAACTAAATTATTAGCCAATGGTCCATTGGAATAATAGCGACATCGCTAGAGTGCAGAAGATATTTAAAAAAAGAAAATATTGAGATTTGATCAGAAGGTTTTATTCATATTGAAAATATGTTGATAAGACACATACCTTTCATGTTTTACGATAAAGAATGTTGTTTATATGCTTAAGATATTTCTGTTTTACTAATAATATAACTTCTTCTTCTTTTTTTTTTTTTTTTGATTATATAATAATAAATACCAAGGACCAAAAAAAAGAAACAAAATAAGCTCTAATGAAAAGAAAAAATCTCAATCAACTTACGAATAATTCGTTCAATACTTTCTAATGCACATAGTCTAGGATGGATATATACGAGAAAGGCAACGGAAAGGGGAAGAATCAAATTGTGTTTGACTTGGAATCATCATCATCATCACCATCTATCATCGATGTCTCAGTAAGTAGAGAAAAGAAGAAGAAGAAGAAGAAGGGAAAGAACGGAAAGAAAGACTGAACCTTAGCGATCAACTTATAATCATTGTTGTGTCGATAAAAGAGGAGATAGCATGCAAGCAACTTACTCTCCACTGTGTACATACCACTATCGCTTGTTTTGGTCGTCGTCCTTCCGTTCGTTTATTCTCCCTCTCCTTATGTTGCTCTCTTTTTCTCCCATATACCACTACTCTATAACCACGCAAGAGATTGCAATAGCACACATATAGATTAGTTTCTTTTTTTTCTTTTTTCCTGCTTTTTTTATCTTCGATAGTAAAGAGAAAAAGAAAGACACCAGTGTGAGTCAATGACCGGCCAATGGTACTGGACAATAGTCTTTTATACGTTCTTCTTTTTACTACTGTACAACTGACGAAAAAGTCAGAAAGAAGAAAAAAAAATGAGTATGTAGGCAAGCCAATTGAGCACATACACATTTACTTACTACTAAGTTTATCGACACACACACACACGCTCTCAATCATAATATGCATTCAGCATGCGGGAGAAGGCAATATGAGTAGAATGAGAGAAGAAAAAAATGTTATATATAACTCATATTCTATGCATGTATATATACCTCCGCATTTGGCACTATCGCATTGTTGATATATCGATTCTGAGGAATTCAATGTTAGTAATATTATTGTTATTACTCACATCTACTCTTATTTTTTTTTATCATTCAACCTACGCATAAAACGTGCCACTATTTGGCGCTTATCAGAACTTGACATTTGACGAACTCAACAAAAATTGTGTTGTTCTTCATGTTTGTGTATATACTTGATCATGACATTGTTCGTGTTTTTTTTCATTTATTTTGTTGTTTTTTTTTACTGATAAACTCGATCTGTATATATACTCGAAACGATGAAGTATACATAATTCAAGGACAGTAATAAATAATAGAACTGACCTCTTCGTGATAATATGATCATTTGCATAAATACTTTTATTCGCAATTTATTACGTGTATACTCAAATGAATAAAGAACAAGAGAAAGAAGTCTGATAAAATTAACTGTCGAATTGAAGTCACGCAAAAGTGTGACAAAAAAAATGCTTCCTACAATTATGATGACAAAAAAAAGGTGCATAATAAAACTGTTCTCTAGTCTGTAAAAAAAGAAACGAAAAAAAAAGAAGAAGAAGAAGAAGACAAACAAAATCATTTTGTAATGTTTATCTTATTGTTAAATTGTCTAGTCAAAACGAAAGAATCAATAACACAAACAAATAAAAAAGAACGAAATCTTATTTACTTGAATCAAGGCTTTCAAAATAAGAAATTCTATCAGCATACTTGAAACAATGATGAGACCTTCTTTTATGTGTGTCGATCACATTTATTCTTCGTTTTTTTTTTGAAGGTTAAACTAAAAGATACCTTTTTTTTTTTTACATAGAAGAGAAAGAAGAAGAAAAAAAGAACTGATTATTCGTTGTTCCTTCTAGCCTAAAAAAATGATAATAAGAACAAAAACAAAACGAATAAATCTTGATTATTGATAAAGAAATAAAATAAAGATGATCATCGATTTAACATATCTTCGTGTATTTCACTTCGGAGATCTAGGCAAAAATTTTCTTTTGATTATGATTATTTTAATAAACTCTATACCAACTGTTGTACTATTTAATTGTCCATTGTTACGTAGTTTCATGAATGATACAGGTCTTCTTGCTTTTAATAAAACAACAATGATGAATACTGAATCAATTATTCATTGTCAATGGTTAGTGGTTGGTTCATCACAACAGGTTGTCGAATTCTATTTCTCACTCTTATTTTGAAATAAAGTTTATTAATTCTCTATAGCGTATTGTTGTTGAATTCGATTACATATTTATTCCGGTTTCTATTGAAGAATATCTAAAAGCAGGTTGTCGTCGCGGTTCTGTCAATTTATGGACACCAGGATTAGAAAATGAAAAAGTTGAAGTATGTGGTGATCGTCGCAAAGTACGTGTAGCTGGTGTGGGACATACATTAATGATTGAACTTCGTCTTAATGATCAATATCTTGATGCAAATTTTTTTATGCATTATCAACTTATTCAAATAGAACGTGAGTTACTTTTTTTTTTGTTTTATTATTCTTTTTTCCTTGTATTGAATGATTACTGATTTCTAGAAGCATTAAGCACACCGTCGCATTTAATTAATTCATCTATGTTATCAGCAGAAAACTATGCTGGTAAAAAAAAGAAGACTTCTCAATATTTATATTTCAACTATATTCAAAATAGAATGTGGTTTAACATCGACAAATGGTTATAGATTTTCTCGTGGAGTTTCTAGTCGTATTGTGGGTGGTCGTCAAGCTGTACCACATAGTTATCCTTGGCAAGTACTTCTTAATGATCGTGGCAAATTTTGTGGAGGTTAAACCTTCGTATGACTTTTTTTTTCCTCAATTGATTTTTTTCAACATTTAGCAACGATTCTCAATGCTAATTGGATCGTAACTGCAGCACATTGTGTTAATGGGTATATTTTTATAGAATTATTTTCTTCTTTTTTTTTCCTATCTAATAGAAAAATGAAATGCTTAAATCAATATAGAACAAATCCAGAAAATCTATCGGCTGAATTCGGTATGCATGATCGATATTCTACAGAACGTTCACGAGTAACAAGAACGATTAAACAAATTGTTGTTGTACATAATATTAAGTTTAAAAAAATTTAAAGAAAATAATAATTCTTCTTTTGTATTTTAAATAGTATCCATCGTATAATGGAAAATCAAGTCGATGGGTACATGATATTGCATTACTTCAATTATCCCATTCACTTATATTTAATCCTTTTGTGCGATCAATATGTTTATCATCCATGCCAAATTTTGTTCAAATTGGTGATCGAGCCCTTGTTACTGGATGGGGAGATACTCATGGTACAGGAAATTTTCGATATTTACGTGAAGTTGAAGTACCTATTCAATCAAATGATCAATGTAAATTAAAAGATCTTAATTTAGTAACAACTATCTGTGCTGGTTTATGTCAAAATTCAACATGTGATGCATGTCAAGTAAGTTTGAAAAATCGAAATTAAAGTTCGAAAAGAAATTTTCTTCTCGTTGTTTTCTCTATTCGTAGGGTGATTCAGGTGGTCCAATGGTTTTGTTAAGATATGGTCGTTGGCATTTAATTGGTATAATATCATGGGGTTTTAGTTGTGCTGGTCTTGGTGTATATACAAAAATATCGTATTATGCAGATTGGATAACAAAAATAATTTATTCTTAAAACATTAACTGCGATAGTCGATTGAAATTATACTTATATTTATTTAATTAATAAAAAAAAAGACAATAAAAAAGCAGATTAAGATCTAATGTAAAAGAATAAGTAATTGTCATGGTTGATGTTATGTTATGGTTTTGATTGTAACATCAACATTATTACGTGTTGCATCTAAAAATATTTCTTATCAAATTATTTTAAATTTAAAAGAAAAAGATAACTTACGAGAATAAGGACATATATAATGTGCAGCTTTAGTTAAAGCATCAGCATCAGCTTGTTGAGTATTTGGTATTTTAACTGTTAATTCAACTTTGAAACCAAAATTACCATTATCATGTTTACCAATACTAACAGCTGCACTAACACTTGATGTTGGTGGTAATGGTTTTTTAAGATTTTGGGCTGCTAAACCCATGGCAGCTAAAAAACAAGCACTATAACCAGCAGCAAATAATTCTTCGGGATTTGTTCCGGGAGCACCTGAACCACCGAGTGCTTTTGGTTTAGTTAATTTCACATCTAAATGCGATCGATCATCATCACATACAACATGACCGTCACGACCACCTGTTGCTGTACAGCGAGCAGTATACATAATGGAAAATGCACGCATCGATCCACCTATTGGATTAATGCCACGAAATGATAACAACGAGCGAGCTAGATTATGAGCCATCTACAAAGAAAAAAAAAAGTCATCAATGTCTTTATTTTAAAAATCTTTTAAATAGTCATAGAATAATAAATTGTCTAACAACAGAGATGTGGTGAAGGAAAAAATGTAGTGATGGAGAGATATGCAAGGGTAAACTTTTCAGAGTTAGTAAGGTGTGTAACATATTTATATCCATTATGTGGGGTTTGGGTACATTACTTTTTTTTTCATTCTGTGACCTCTGTTGTCAATACACACAAGGGCTTCTTTGGTAGGGAAAATGATGATTTTTCTCTAATTGGAGGGGTACGCATCCTTGGAATCTCTCCGTCACTACATCTCTGATACAAAAAAAAACCGATAGTATTTTTCAAGCTAAGTTAATTCCTTCACTAGAATGTTGTCGAAAATTAATATATGGATGTTCATGTAATCGTCGTGTAATTTCTTCTGATGATGGTTCACTTATATGAGATCTAATTAAGTAAAAAATTTATTAATTTAAATGCTTATTTTATTTATCTAGTCGATTACATACCGATAAATATCGTACATATTCGATACAATTAATTCTTCATTTTGATCAGCTCGTTTTTTTTTAGCATCATGAATCTAAATTAAATCAAAATCATAATTAAAATAGAAAAAAAGAAGCCATCATAACAATGATAAACTCACATCACCACTTAATGCAAGACAAACATTTAATCCAATAGTTGTTACAAATAGATACCAGAGTATAAAATATAATTCACTCCACCTATTGAGAATAGATGAAATTTAAAAAAAAACACACTAAGAGATTGAAAAAAGTCTTTACATTGAATTTGTCGCAGCACGAAATCCATAAACAAAGACATACCATTGATTTACAACCATTATATTATACAATGTAACAATTGATGACTATATAAAAAACAATACTATAAAGCTTTGAATTTTAATCCGTTTTAATTTACATAAAAATCATCGAATCCATTTGGCCAATATCCAAGTTGTTCATAAGTTCCACAAACTCTACGAACATATAATTTAGTATTAAAAATTAAAATTAATAAAAAAAATATTCACGTTATATTTGATTGATTATAGCGTGTATAAAGATCATCAATTGCACCACCAAATAATTCCATTCCAAATATTGAATACGCATAATAAAAACTCTAGAATATCATTTCTGTATTACGCTAACATACGATACAAAATTAATGGCACAAAAAGTCGAACACTAGTTCTCTTCAATAGAGGGATGCAAACAAGTATTGAAGAGCTGTTTTAGATTTAATAATAATCAGTTACGAAATAATCTTCTCTAGAGTAGGATTCGGGCCAATAAAATTTATTCTTGTACGTCTTTATTGCTGAACGAAAACTTTTTCTATGAAAAGACGAGTTCTTCTCCTCTTTTGATTCGTATATAATTTATTTTTATAATATGTTCATAAATGAAATGATGTAACAAAAATGTGAAACATTCTTGGAAGAAAAAAATCGCAATTTTCATATAAGATTCAAAAAAACAGCGCAATATGTTAATTCCAATATCTCTTCGACAAATATGTTTAGCAATGAACATTTTTGTATTCAGTCGATTGGAAATTCTCTAGTCTTTCGAACAGTATCAGATTTATGTTCGTCACATATTCGCAAACGAAATAAGAAAAGAACAACAAGAATTAAAAAGTTTGTGTAGAACGGTGATTGCATGAAATTTTATGAACTCATTAAAAATACATTCGAAAACAACAGTTAATTATAATTGAATTTTGTCTAACAAGATATGTTGAGAAATTCGTATAAAAATTATAAATCTTTTACGTGAATGTTTTGCTTTTTTCTCGCCTCATTTTATTTATGAATATATATGACAAACATAAATCATATACTATTTAAAAAAAAACAAGAAAATTTCGTACTTCGATTGAACAAGCACGCTCATAAATGATTCTAAATCATCCTTTGTTGGCGTATTACACGGCTCAGTGTTTTGATCGTATACAGAGCAATACCGTAGTAATATTGAGCTATGTAATACGTCAAGCGTATACGAGTTTCGTATTCTGCGTTTTGGTTTTTGGATGATTAAAAAAGATATTCTTTTCATAATATCATTATCGAAGAAACATACGAATCGATGTATTTCTACCGTTCTTGTATGAAACAAGTGTAGATCTTCTTTATGAGTGCTGCTCGTTTCGTTTATGAACGTATCGGCTGACCACATCAAATAAGACTATCTAGAAATAAAATCAGTACGCATTTTAAACTGTTTAATCTATCCAGTAGATCAACTAGTCGATCGGGTCCTGTCCGACGCACGCAAACACAGGAGTCGATATTTTGTGCCATTACTTTACATCATATGTTATTAATAAAAACTAAGAAAAATTACGAATAGAAGTCCAAAGAAGGCTCCACCATTTCGAAATTCATCAAAAATCGTTCCAACAATAATACGAATATTTTTTGATGCTGGTAAAAGTCGAATTAATCGATAGATAAATAACATATTGCACACTTTTATTGCTGCCCAAAGTGAAAAAATTGGTTTTTCTTTCTTTATCATTTCAACATATCTATACATTAAAAATCATTTAAATAAAAAACGAAACAACAATTTGTTTTTTATTTTCTTACATTAGTGAAACAATCAGTGTTCGATGTATGGCGACATAAATAATTTGTAGAATCTATTTAAATATAATATATAACTAAATCTAAACAAAATCATCTGTTTGTTTTCTCTTACGAAACATGTAAATGCTACAACTGCTTCTAATATATGTGTTGATGATGAACGAAAAAAATTTACTGGACCAAATGCCCATGCTTTAAGTACTATTTCAAGAACAAAATAAAACATAAAACATAAGTTAAGAATTGCCATAGGTAATGTATATGTGACTATATCATTGTAATTATTATTTAAATGACGATTACTAACTTCAATCTATTGAAAATAATTAGAAAAAAACTCAAAATATAATTAAATTATTATTTACTGTAACACAAAGAACACTTAATATAGCAAATATTGTTCCAATAAGATCAAATCTTTTTGAACGACAAATAGCTTTAAAACGATCGAGTGAATTTGCACCTAATGTTTGAATATTAAGTTTCTGAAATGCAAAATTATTGTTTTTTTTGTCTTGGTTTTTTTTCTATCTTACTGGTGCTAATTTTGGATTTAAATCTAATAATTGCATTGTTTTAGAATATTGATCAAGATTAATTGTTTCATTTTCATGCATCAATTCAGATAATTTCTAAATAGAAAAAATTCGGATTATATTCATTGATTTTGTTTCACTGTTTGTTTTACTTCATTAATTCGATCAAAATGCCATTTATTCATCGATACAAAATTTAATACTGTCTGAATAAGTGATATCGGAATAGTATCTCTAACAAATTAAATATCTTTCCTCTCAAAAATGAATTCTTTTTCTTTTTATGATGGTTACTTTATTTCAATTAATCCTCCATATGTTATACGCCTTTTCAAAATTTCAAACGATGCTCGTACAGCTATACGTCGTCGTAAGTGTAAATTAATAATTGAACTTAAAAAATAACCTCGGAAAGCACGATAAACTACAGCTGTTATTATATTTTGTATCCAGTAAATGCCTGAATTAAATAAATAGATAAAAAAAAAAACAATTTCGGTTAGTTGTTATCAATGAGCGTACATTTTACCAATAATAACAAAAATGATGAAGAATAATGCATTCAATCGATTATCCGAATAAGCTATGAATATAAAAAAAAAAAGAAATTTTTATCATCAATTAAAATGAATTTTTACCTGGTATCATTAGATCAGGATTATTTGCTGTAGAATGAAGTACAAGTAATTGAAGGACTGCATTGTGTAAACTAGAAAAATAAGTACTGCCTTGGCTATCTGGTCGAGTCTAAACAAAGAAACTATTTTGTTGAAAAAAAATTTACTGCCCATAATTATATACGTCTGATCGAGGAAATAGAAACATAGCCATAGCAGCAAAGAAAAGAATATGAATAAGTGCTAATGAAATGCAACTAGATAGAAAATAAAATCACATTATTATCAATTGTATTTTTTATTTTACATACGCGATAATGGTGAAAGCATTTTTATGTAAAGCTTTAAATGCTTTTTTCATCAACTGTGATGATTCAATCATAAATATAGGACGAAAAATACGTCGAAGACGAATCTAAATGTATCCATTATCAATATAACAAAAGTATTTTCTCCAATTATTTCCTACATACACCGTGATATGTTTGACTAATAAATAAGAACATAACAAACCATTCACATAATGAATATATAACAAAAATTAAAGAAACTATTAACCAAAATCGTTGTCGAATATATTTTATGCCAAGACAAGCCATCTAATGGTCGTTTTTATAAATCAAAAATTTAAAAAATATTAAATTTCAATTATTTACTTTCACTAAAATATAACAACTAAACCATAGAAGTGTTAAACCTTCAATTGTCATAAGTATAAAATATGGAAAAATAATTCGATCAGGTTTATCACGAACATCTGATGTTATACTAAATGATGATGGTCGCTCAAAAAATGCCAGACAAAGATTAATCATCAACATAATCTGATGTAATCTATAACATACATTGATTTATCAATATTCATTTAAAATCAATTTCTTTTTGACAATTACTTTTTTATCATTGGACATGAAAACCATCGATAGATTAATAAATATTTTCGTGTTACTTTATGTGCTATCGATTGATAATTAACTGCATTTTCAAGAAAGACAGTTGCACACAAGAGTGTATTGGAAGCTATAAGAAAAAAACACTTTTTCTTTATTTATATTCTATATCTTAACATACGCCAAGAACATTGTTCATTATCATCGATATAGTCATTATTTATAGATTGTGGTAAACCAAAAAATTTCTTTAAACGATCTTTAATTGTAATAGATTGAAAATCACTAATTAAATTTGTGTTTATAGAATTAATTATTTCTTCTCTTTCCATATCTACAAATGATAATAATGTCTTATTTTAAATTAGAGTTAACGAATGATACAAAATTTTTTCATTAAATTTATTTTCCGTATAGCATGATAACAACTCATTATAGAGACTTAATAATTTTCTTCTCAGTAAAAGTAATGTTACTAGTTACAAATCTTTATAAACATATGCTATTCAAAATACTTACCGAAGATTGAAAAATTTTCAGAACACGTATCAGTGCCTTGCAACTTCACACAAAATCAACAAGGAGAAAAGCATTTAATCGTTTTGTCTTGCGCTTAGTTTTAAAAATATTTAGGCACGTGATGTGTGGATGGAATCAAAGAGACACAATCATAATGAGATACCGAACTAGTTCGTTTCTAGAAAAACTCAAATCAATTGCATCTCTGCTCATTATATCTTATGAAAAAACTACATTCTGTTTTATGTAACGTGCTTTTGTAGAGAGCTTGCTAAACCCTAATTAGAAAAAAAGATGAGAATTTCACTAACTTCAATTATTGGAAAAAATTTTATTTTTCGAAATCGTTTACTCGTTGTCAACACATTTCATTAGCAGAGAGCTGTCCTAGTCACACATGTTCTTAAAAACTTTTCAGCCTTTGGTAAATATTATGAACGAAATATTTTTACACAGGTTTGATGTTTCTAACAAGAAAACTATTGAGTCTCTAAAAACGAATTGGTGTTCGTGTTATATTGAAAACAAAATAAATACAGAACTTTTACATTGTTCGTTATAATTCTATTAAAAAGATTTTAAAAAAATGAGAATACATTTGATTTACATTAAAAAAAACGCAAAACAGAAAAAAAAATAACAGAAATTATTTTGATCAACATTTTCTTGTTGTATTTGTATAATGTTTTTGTAAATCTTCACGAAATTGATCAAAGAGTAAAACTGATGTATCATCATCCATTAATTCTGTTGTTGGTAATTGAGATTTATCAAGAAAACCTAATCGATATAAATAAACATTATTTAACACAACATAATCATAGCCAACCACAAAACTTTCACAACACTAAAATAATAATGAATAAAAAATAAATACTTTAACAAAAACAAAAAAATTTCTATATTATTCTTACTTGACTTATTCTAGCATGTGCATGTGATTTAAAACGTGGATCAAATGTGGGTACATCTTTAGGGCCAATATAATATGGTTGCCATGGTTGTGAATAATGTGGTCGAAACAATGGAACAATTTTATCATTACTTGCTTCTTGTTTCCATGCTTGATAATTTGTTAAAAATTGACATGTTGGACAAACATCAGCTTGTAATGGTTGTAATTGATTGTCATTCCATAATAAAATTAATTCACGTTTATTTTGTGGTAATGGTGCTGCACGTTTTACTGTATCTATATGAATTTCAAATGCTGGAATAACATAAAGTGTACGATTAAATTGTTCTGTTGTGGTTGTTTGAGTATAAAATGAAACCAGATGATGAAAAAGATCTGATGCAGGAAATATATCAATATCAAGTGCTAGAATATATTGTACAGTTGATGGTGTTGTACCATGACGAGCTATATTACGAAGAAGATTTGATGGATATGGAGTTGAATCAGTTTCATCAGTGTGATTTATATAATTTAGATTTGGACAACTAACAGCATATTTAACACTATGAGTATGATGTTGATTTGATATTGAACCTAAATTAAACATTTCATTAGGAATATTTCAATATTGAATTCATGGAAAAAATGTAGCGAAAGTTATTGTTTTCGGATAGGTATTTTCCAATTTTCTTTTTTTATTGAGAAAACCAATGAAAATTTTCGACACGGTAGAGTAAAATTGCTTTGTTATTTTTGTTTTTCTTTTCTGTGTTCTCTCAGGGATTGATTATACTATTACAGATATCTTTTCTCCTTAAATTATGACTTTAGATGGAAAATATAATGAGTGTAAGTTTTTAGTAGATAGTGTCAAACTCTTTTTCTTGAGCTTCTTAGTAACGAAAAAAGGCGCTGAACAGCATTAACAACAAGACTTAAAAGTTCTAGAACATTTCAAAGCTCTCCTCAACATTGGAATGGTTAGAATACGTTTGTGAGTGTTCTAAATAGTGCAATTTTGATTTTTGCACAGATAAAAATTTTTATTGAAGATGGCAAGAATGATAAGTAGCCATGCATTGATTTGTCACGGTCATCATATAAAGTGTGAACTTATTAAGTTATAACCTTGAGAAATAATCAATATCAGTGTTTCTGTGCTTATTGAGATGTATAATAGTGCATTGGGACCTGCTTTAGACATCATCGATACATATGACAATCTCATTTGCCAGTTAAACAGATGGTTAGAATAATAATAAGAAGAAGAAATCCACTTGATCTATTGTATATTAGTATAACGAGGGTAAAGAACACATGTGAATTTCACTTTTTAGTTCCAAAAAGAGGCTACGCGGACAAGCGTTTTTGTTTAGACATAATTTTTCACGACTTCAACACTATCTGATTATTATAATCGATGTATTCTCGCTACTTAGTAATTTAAATATCTTACGTTCGTAAGCTGTTGCCGACATAACAAGATGAATATTCAGCACTTTAAATAATCTACGGTTACATCGAAGCCATATTGATGCATAATCAATATCATCACTAGCTCGAGTACCTTTAACATATAAACTTAATGATATTGGTCCATCCCAAACCTTCGCATGATTTAATAATAAATGAAGTTTTTCAATAGTTGTATGTATATTAAGTGCAAGTAAATCGGCATTTTTTGTTAAATTACTTTGATATTGTACAAAATTTTGTACAATTAAATAATTCCCTGATATATCAAAACGTTTTTTCATTTCAATTGTTTGATAATATGGACGTGTATCAAGATCATAATCTGGTTCATTCGAATTTTCTTGAAAAAATAATATACTTGAAAAAAGTACACCATTAATTATATTTAAAATTAACAGGCCAACAATTAAAATAAGAAATATTCTAAATAAACGTTTTAATTTTTGTCGTTTACGACACGAAAGACTCAATCGAAGAAAATAACGTTTAATGCGAAACATATAACGTTGAATAGGAAGCATAACACAAATTAAATATAAAGAAAAACAAGATAATATGACTTCAATAAATATTTGATATTTTATTTAAATACTGGTCGATTTGAACGTGCGTATGATGTAAGTAATTGATTCAGTCCAAAATCGGACCACTTATTTTGTGTTTCGTCAACAATTTCCGAAAGTAATGTTAAATCACTTTCAAATTCGTCTGGATTATATGATAAATTATGAGGATAATGATGACTAACTCCTGTACCGTGATGATTTACTCCGGTACTTTCACTCGTAGCTCCTGTACTATCTACAGTTCTACCAGTTCCACTACCGGTATGAGGAGATGCTCCGTGTGATGAACTAGTTCCTGTTCCAATCGTTGATGTAGTTCGACCTGTTGAACTACCTGGTACTATACTAGTATTACAATTAGCAGCTGCTGCTGATGCAAGTAAATAATTAGCGTCGGAATTATCGTCAGGATTTCCTAAATGTGGTAATTCGTCAACAATCCAATCACGATCAATTAATGCAAGATGACGCCCATCAGGCAAATAAAGTCCATCCATTGAACCATATGATTCTAAATCTAAAGAAAAATAACCACAAAAGCGTATTTTATAGTAGTATGTGTGTATTGTTCATTGGCTAAATTAAAAGAGAGAAATGTAGACAAAAAATATATATATATATTCTTTTTCTAAGACGAAAACACAATGTAAGATCGAAATTATGTAGATCTATAAGCAGAGAAAATCAAAACCAAATGCAAGACTAGGATAAAAGACATTAAATGAAGAAATATTATATTCTAAAATGACTAGGAAAAGAACATACACAACAATAAGATTAATATATTTTAGTCTAAAAATCATGCGGGAAAAATGAATTAGTAATAGTGTTTTTATTTTGCTATAATAATTTATGATGGAAAACTTTTTTCATATGTAGCTGATGCTGTTTTTAAACGTCGATCAACTGCAGCTACTAAAGCTGAACCTTTGGATGAACCATCTTCCGAAAGAACCAAACGATGCTAGAAAAAGTAGATTCGATAAAATATAATAAGACTTATTCGATTAAAACATACTGTTCTTGGCACAAGTCGATCTAAAGTTCGAATAAGATTTTTCTTGAATTTTTGATGATGACGAAAAAGTGTACCATCAACAGCAACTGTTACAGAAGGCATATTAAGACGATTAATAAGTACAGCAATAGCTAGAATATAAATAAGAACATTTTTTTCAATTTTAATGAAGACATCATGCAGATAATACGATTAGTTGTCTCTTTTTACCTGCTGCTGCTAATTTAGCTGCTCGAAGTGATACTGTCTTACATACTTCTCGAATAATATAACAATCATCATATGATGGTTCATGAATACCGATTGAAGTAAGAATTGTAGCAGTGATTGACAAATCTTCCGCTAAAATACATAGCATGTATTATTCTCTCACATATCATTCAATTCATTCGCTGCTTGTTTTTTCTTACTTGTATCACTTTCAATATCTGCAACATGTTTCGCATAAAAACTTCCTAAAATGAAGCCATTTGAAACTTTTATTTTAATATTCTATTGATCGTTTTTTTTATTTTACCTCTTAGAATAAGAAATATATTATAATCAGGTCGAATACTAGGTGATTTTTGCATACGACCAGGAAAAAGAATAGAACGTTGCACCAAATCAACAATAATTAAACGAACTATTTCACCGAGATAAAGAGCTAAAAATAATATTATTTTTATTTTTATTAAAGTTCTCTTTCAAGTTCATTTTTACCTGAAATCATTTTTTCAAAAACTTGCTGTTGTGGTGTTAAACTTGACTCATCAAGTTCACGATCAATATCTGTTCGAATAAAATCTAGACAGCCATTCTAAATAAAATCAGCGCATTCATTCATCATCAATAAAACGAATAAATCTAAATTGATTACAAACTTTTCCTAGTGCACCCCATTCTGTACTAATAATAATTTGTTTGGTTGTATTATCTCGTAGACCTGTCCATTTAGGTACATTTTCAATATGTTCAAAATAACATGCATTAGTTCCTAAAAACAATATTATTGAATGAAAAATAAATCAACTTTTAATAATCTATTTACCTGTGCCAAGTATAACACCTGCTCTACAATCACGATATGTTGAACTACAAGCCATTAATGTACCAACTGTATCATTGACTAAAGCAACAACTTCTATTTTGAGACCCTAAAGTAAATATGAATGACAATATTTATCTATTGTTTATTAAATTCATTGAATTACTCATACCTTTCGTCGATTAATAGCCTGTTGTAACATAAGAACAACATCATTACCAACAACACTTGTACAACTAAAACCTTTTGTCCATGATACTAAGGTAGCTTCTCTTAAACTTGTTTGTTTACAAGGAAAACTAAATGTGAAAGCTAAAAGAAAAACAAAACAAAATTAATTTAGAATTCATTTTGTTTTCAAAACGTTTTATTTAATCGTACAATTAACTAACACTTCACTACAAACTATACAATATTTATTTTCTTCAATCAACAATAAATAAAAAGCTATGGTCACGTCAAATTTCCAGTATCTCATATAAAAAGGTAAATTTCCATTTCCATAAAAGAAATATTAGTTTTACAATCAACTAATTTAGTTTCTCTCTTGATTGTAACACTTTGAGTGACATTTTGCTTGTTAGATTCATTCGACATGTTCTTAAACAATAACCAGATGCTTTTTTTATTATTACAATCTTTCTATTTGTTTTTTTTTTCTATGCACAACTATTGTTCAATCCATAAATATTTGATCTACAGCAAAACACCCCTATACTATAAATATCTCGTTATTGTGAATACTTTAAATTTTCAAAACTAATTGAGTAATATAAAAAAAATAAAAATAAAAATTTTCTTACCTAAATCAAATTTGCCATCAGCTGATTTATGTAAAGATAATTTATTATCATCAATAAATCTTTGTAAACATTCAGCAATATAATCAAATAATTTTTCACCTTCACCTAATAATAATGAATGTGGAATAAGAAATATTTTATTATTTAAACGCATTCGATTTCTTGCTTCAATAACAACATGTGAGACACGAAAATTTGAACCACCTAAATCAACAACTAAATATTCTCCAGATTCTTGTCCACTTGGTCCATGATGTACATAAGTTGGAAACATAGCTAAATCATTTGTTGCTGTATCATCAGATTTTAAACCATTGGTCATTTCAGTATTTAAATTTGCCATAACACGACGAATTTGTTCTTCAGTTAATTGAAATGGACGAAGAATATTTCGTACTTCATCACGTAGAATAACACGTTTCGAACTTTGTAACTGTCGATTAATATAATAAGCACCAACACCAATTGCTGTCAAAACACCTGTTGTTATACCAACAAGTTTTAATGTTTTGAAAACATCTATTTTAAATTCAATAATATAATCTGATGATGGTGCCATCTAAAATAATTAATACATATACATATATATATATATGTATTCTTTATTAGTATTGTCAAATGAAAAAGAATAACTGATATAATCACTTGTTACCTGTGCAATAAAAAATATCATCAGATTCAGTGCGCGTAAGCGTTAAAGGGCTTTCCCAATAAAATATCACATTAAAATTAGAGAGAAAAAATAGTCAAAAAAAAAAGTACTAAACAGAAGGTGTTCTGTTTATTTTCTTAAACTTCTTCCATTTGTACTCCAAATGCTTCTTGATTTGGTGTTTGATGAAACAGTGCATGAAGAAATATGACAAAAACTGAGGCACCTGAAAGCAAAAATAAATGAACTTAAAAATCATTTTATTTCATTTACCAAGAATCCAAAAGATTGCTGAACCAGCACCAACCATAACAAGTAATGGAATGCAAAGACACATCACTGCTAAATACTGTTGAGTTAGTGAAATTTGACGACCTAATAAAAACAAAAGTCCAGATAATAAGAATATCGTTTCATAGATGAATGAAGCTTTTTTTACCCATAATTGCTAATTGACTTTCACGATTTTTTAAACTAACTAAATAACAACCAGCACCCATTGCTAATAGAACAAAAAGTAAAGCTGGTGTTGTAATGCTAATTCAACGAATAAAAAAAAAGACATCTTTTAATGCTACAAAATAAATCATTTAAAAATTTTTACATGCAATAGATTGATAAAACAATAATGACAATAACATAATTTGTTTGAAAATGTTCAACATTTAAAAGAATTCGACGACCACCTGAAAATATATAAATAATTTTTCTTTGATAGAAACCAAGGTCTTATTATTACCAGCTTTAATATTAGCAGGTGTTTTAAATTGATTTTTATTAAAAAATTCTGTCCATGAACGTAAACTTTGACGTTGTCGTGTGTATAATTCACTAACATTTATTTTTTGAAGATTGGAAAGTGTCCAAGTTGATCTATGAGTAGAAGAAAAAAAAATTAATAAAAAAGAAAAAAACAATAGTACTATGGTTACAAATTATTATTGTCATTAGTTGAACTCGAACTATTGTCTTTAGAAGAACCAAGTGGTACTTCTGAATGTTGAGATGGAGGAGAGAGTATGTCTCCACTAAGTTGTTTTGCTGTCGACGTGTCACTCATTTGAATTAATGTAAAAGACTAAAAGACTAAAAGACAATGAGTAAGATTTCAAGAAATGTATGACACAATCATAGAGTTGTAAAAGAAAAGAACAAAATAAATATAAATAATAATAATCATTTGACCAATTGAAAATAGGCGATAGATGCCAGTCAAAACAAATAATAAATCAGTGGTGAAACCAGGATTTTGACCTAGGAGACGGCAAACGTTTTACCACAACATAAGATACATGAGTTAAAATGCATTGTTTTAAATTGTCTTGATTTCTAGTTCCTTTGCAACACATCTATGAAACATGAATAAATGAGAAGTTTGCAAACTGAGAATCCATGTGAGGAGATCATGAACAATTAAATTCATCCTATTTTATGTTTATGCTTTTCAAGCTACTGTGCCTTTCAATTTTGTCATCCTTTAATCCTGTTAATACCTTTAGTACGTTTCGACGTGAATTGAATATGCAATATGATTTGCCTGTGAATAAGTTAATACGGATTTTGTCTTTTCATTATTGAACTGATTGTTTTCTTGATTTTCTCTATTCAAATAAATGTTTCTGATAATGGTCTGTTATCTCTCAAATGTGCATACATGAACTGTTTATGAGCAGTGAATTCAACTTCAATAGCAAATGGATAAGCGACATTTATTCCTTGTTCTCCAGCATCAGTGTTGTCCAAAAGCTGAGTCGATTAACATGTGGATTAAACAAAGCTTCTAATGTAAATGCTTGTCCATATTTTTTTCGTTGTGTATCATCAATGAAATAATAGGTTTCAGCAACACCACATAAATCAGAAGCACCAAGAACAGACAAAGATGCTGATGCATCATTCAAAATATGTTTAGTTAAATTTGCATAAGTGGCTTTATCACGATCGATATAACAAGAAAAATCAATACGTAATGGTAATGGTAAATTCTGATTTTTTTTTAGAAAATTTAGACTACGATAGACCCAATACATCGATCGATGTCCATTCAAAGCTGGAAATTGTGCATCAATATAATCGGTTTGAAGAACATGTTCTTCAAGTCCGTCGACTACAAAATACACAGCTGGAGTAAAAGTAGCATTGGTGACAATCTGTAGAAATCGTGGATGATGTGTAGAAAGGAACCAGTCTTGACTTGCTTTTCCTCCAATCATAACTTCACCTTCAAGCTAAATAGTTTGAACTAACAAAGCACCATCCGGATGTTTGACATTAGCAAGTACTTGAAGAACACTATCCATTGTCTCTTCGACACGTGATATAAATTCACTAGCATTTAGATGATAATATCCAAAACCATCAATTAGATTACCAATTCGATAATCTGCAGTGCCTAACCATAAGAGACAAACATCTCAATGTACTCGATGACCATCAACTGTACTCTGAATGGATGCTACATCTTCAGCATATTGATGCAAATTGATTGTCTCTTGTACACTCATTGGAAATGTGATTGCCAATATAGATCAGTTGTTGTACCAGGTTGTGCAACAAACCATATGCGTAAAGAAACAAAAGTTGCACCTTTATCAGTAATGCCTTGAAGTTGACCTAGAACTGTTGATCGTACACTTGGTTAGTATGGATCCCTAAACGAAGGTCTATTTTTATTCTTTTGTTTTTCTTGATTATCTTCAAAATACTGCTGATACCATCTGTATTTATTCTCACGCGATGATAATAGGATTGACAGGATCTACCTATTTTTTATTGATTTCATTTGATCTTTTTAACTGACAACTGAACAGTAAATTTTGAGTAATGATGTCAATTTTTTCATCAATTCTTCAAGCTCTTTTTCAAATAAATTAAATATGTTGCCTTTCATAAATGATTACCAATAAAACTCTCTACACATTAGAATAATCTCTTTGGATAAACGAAGCAACAGACAGTTTAGAAGAACTTCTCTAAAAATCGATTTATTTTTTAGTATTTATATTCATTTGATCATCTAAGTTCAGTATGAACAATCCTTTAACTATAGGATCTAATTAATACAGTGCACATTCGTAGGAATCACACATGAACATGTTCAGTGAAACCTTACTCTGTATTAATCAAAAAATCTCTTCATCGTTTTACTTTCTTCTAGAACTTGAGAAACCTTTTTATCAGAAAACAGTTCATTCACAAAAAAGGGAAATATTCATTGGGATACACAGGTCGTATCTGCTTTCTTTTTATTCTAAGAGCATGAATGTGGACGTAGGTTGGTTAAAAGAAAATATTGAGGTTCACACCTCATACTCACACAACTATGCAAACGTCTGCACCCACACCGAGACTCTGTGGATATTAAGGTCATTTTGGTTCTTCACTCTACATTTGATAGTTGAATGGTTGGAAGGAACTTTAAAAATTGGATCCAAATTTCAAAATTAACACGGCTGTTTATCTGTTGAACATATTAATTTCCTTCGATAATAACAGGCAAACAAGATTGGAGTTGAAGGTATGGATATGGGTGTGGACATCACTCTGCTCTTAATCAACCAACCCAGGCTCAGATCCACACCCACGTCCAACCCTTTTTTCGACGCATTGCTACAATTCTATTTATAACAATGGAAACTAATTTATATACCAATCAATATTTTCATAGAGTTTGCTTTCTCTCAATGCACCAACAGAAATATGTGTCTTGATAAGAGATTGCGTAAGCATATCACAAGCTGTTATCTGTTTAGAATAAACCACCAGATAAATTTGCACACGTTTTGTCCTATTCTGCATATTAAAGTCTGCGTTTCAATACAAAACTCGCGCCCATCTGCATTAAAGACGATGAGAAGTAGCACAAGCGATTGATTATTATTTCGTACCAAACTTACATGGAACAAAAAGAAAATCAAAGCATGTACCTCGCTAGTAGTTGTGTGGTAAATGTCCCAACATGTATTCAAGCATCGAGATGCTTCTGCTTATCGCTAGCTAATAATCCCGTTTCTTTCTCTGCAGACGCATCGCAATAAAAGTTTCAGACATGTCTAAAACGTTTCTCTTTTCAAGTGCAAATCACTCTGTTAACGACGTTAAATATCTATCATTCTTAGTGATATTACAGAGACCATGTGAATAAATGTTAGCTCTTTCGTTCAACACAAGGAGGGTGTGGATGTGGGTGAAGTAAGTAAGTGTTTACTTGTACACCGATACCGATTCACAATCACACCCACACCCTTTCTTTGCCTCTTTCTCTGAATATACTTTCTGTTATTAAACGATCTACCTGCATAAGACAAAGCCTTAGTTTACATGACTGGTTATTATCATTATAAATTATATTTCACAAAAAAAAACAGTCAAAGAGTAACAAAAAAATACAGAAATACACAAGTTTCAGCCCCAATAAAGACACTAGCATCATATTGGGACATGAAAATAACCTCTGTTCATTGTTTACATGCGTATTCACAAGAAAAAACATCTACATAAGTGGGAGTACAGAAAAAAATTGACTTCAATACAAAAAACCAATGTGTCCATGATAATCGATTAAGAAAAAGAATTAAATTCATGTGATAAAATTTTTCGACATGAATTATTCCATTGAACCTAAAAAAGAGACAATGATCAACGGTGTGGATGTGGATGTGTAGGTGTGGGGTGTGGGTGGGTGTGTGGATGTGGGTGTGGGTGTAGATGAAAGACTGCCACCCACACCCACACCCTACCCTCGCTAATAAGGCGTAAACTTGCGATTATATCTTTAAAATAGTTTTTTAGTATTTGAGCCTCCCCAAGCCTAATGGCTCCGCCGCCCATAGATATAATTCAAGTTTATTTTTGTCATTTGATAGTGCAAAACGAGTATTATCTATATATACATATATAATAGGAAAATTCTTTCAAAATAGAATATAATAAAAGCGAGCAAACTAGTGTGATAAAAAAATCACACTGCACATTGTTTTTGTAACTCTGATTATTTCACTTATGATACACGAAACTATACAATTATGTGACAGTTTTATTTTGATGGAACTTAACTGGATTCTACAAAATTGCATACATGAAAATGTTTCTAAATTCTTTTATTGCTTAAATTTATCAAAAACATGCATTTGTGTTTTTCACACAGAAAATGGTCAAAAAATTTTTCATATTACAAACACAAGTTTTACATTTTTTTAAAATAGACTTGAAAAAAATTACCCTTTTAAATTATATAAAACATTTTAATATAAAAATAAATATTGAGAGAATCGATATACAACAGAAAATATTACCGGCCTATTCATTTTTCAAAAATGACTTCATGAAAAATTTTGATAAGAAGGAGGCGGAAAGGAACAGAAAAATCTTTCTTCTATCGATCTCTGCAATGCATAAAGCACGTCGTACTGTATCGATTATTTCAACTCAATAGTTTGAAATACTTAATTCATTTACAAAAACATTATTTTTGTGACATTGTCAAAAGTTTTTCAGATATTATTCTTTTCTATAAATTTTCCACAAATTGTTGTGATATAAATGGATCATAGATTTTCAAAAAAAATTCATAGTTAATAGATTAAGATTTCATTGCCTTGTACGAATTAAATATTTTTATTGAATGAAATTCACTTTCTTCCAAATGATCATTTTTTTTATTTCAAAAAAATATTTTTTTATTCCTCCAAACCGTACACAAAATAATAACATTCAATCAATTTCTGCAAAAGGAAAATAATTTTGTAAAGATTGAATCAAATTTTCGCTTTCTCCATATAAAAATAATTCATTTACTTTGCTACAATTAATTCGTGTTTCATTTCTTGTAAAATTCTGTGTTATTCTTGCTAATGATTCCAAATCAATATCAAGTGAGATTGAATTGTGTAAATATGTTTTTGTATGAAGAAGAAACTCTTCAGTATAATCATCATGACATTGTCCAATGTCAAGTTCAATAAGATGATAATATCGGATAATTTCAAAATTCTGATTAATATCGATCGATTGTTTAACATTTTGTGAACAATAATTAATCAAAGTTAATCTGCCCATCAATGGAAATGCAAGAGAAATTTGAAGAAAAAATTCATGTTCAAATGGATGTACATCATATAATGACACTATGCGAACATATGGATAAAATCCGCCTGGAAAATTATTTGTTATTTGTTCATAAAATTCCATTAGAAATGGATATGAATAAACATGACATTGTACTTGTTTTCGCTTATGAATATAATCAACACAAGATATTACTTTTGTACATGGAAAATCTTTAAATGTCTGTTGAATATCTTCGTTTGATGGAAAATTCAATTGATTTTCCATATATATATTTGAATAAATATCAAAATCGAAATGTTTCATTTTTGTCAAATGATAAAGAATATCTTCTTTCAAACTGTTTCCATCAATAAATCTTTCCTTGACATAAGTCATAATATATAAACCAAGTTTTTCCAAATTCAACATTCGATGAAGAAGTGGAACAATTAATGTATTGTAATTGAATGTTTCCAAAAAACATGACAGATTAAAACACTTGAGATTTGGAATTTTTCCCTAGAAAATTCAAAAAAAAAGAATGAATATATCTTTTATTATTAAACTAACTTGATTTTTGATTTGTATTGATGAAGAACAAATCTTGATCAAATCAATACAAAGTGATTGAAGGTTATTGAAACGACCATCAAGAATATAGAGAAAATCATTAAAATTGTGTGCCTTGATATTTAATGTCAATAAAGTTGATGAAGAAAATTTGGGAGAGGGAACAACGGTCATAAATCGAACAATATTTTTATATGATGCATCATAAAATGTTAAATGAATTAAATTGTTCATCATTGTGAATAGATTATTGCATATATTTTCTACTATTGACGAATTCTTTTTTTCTGAATCAATTCCAACAACAAGCGATGTGATTTGATTTTTGAAAATATCATATGAAAGATTATTATCTAAATTAAAAATCTATCTTATATTAACATTGATTCTATATTAAAAATTAATAGAAACAATCGAATGATTGAAAGATGATCTTAAATTTGAGAGTATTATCTCTAGAAAGTATTCATACCAGTAAAAAGAAAGTTGATTATTTCTTCGTCAACATTGTAGAGGCCAAGTCCACATAAATTAGGATATTTATTAGCAGATAAAAAACGTGTCATAAATGATGAGTCAAGATTAAACCATTTGATTCTTTTACAAATTTCGGGTAAAATTTGTAAAGAAAATTGATCAATAAGATTAGAAGAAAATTTATTGACAATTTTATGGCATGACCATTTAACAAAATTCAAACGGCTTGTAAATATTGGATCATGTATAACTCTATTGAATCGTTGATTAATATCATGAAAAGAATAAAGTACTTCACAACTATGTAGTTCTTTCAAAATTAGTAGAAGTATTTCGTCGGGTAAATCATTCAATTGCATTTTTTTTTTTTCGTTTCTTATTAAAAAAATTAATACATTTATTTATATGTTTGTTTTTCGCATTTGACCGATGTCGTCAACAGTAAGAACAATTATGATGCACTTTTAAATAGTCTACGTGATGATTGACCGTCATCATTAGACCGAATGGAATGGACTAATATCGGAAAAAAAAGGCGGAAAATAGATGATAGAAGAGGAAACTATAGAAGAGAAAAATGTCGAATGAATTATCGTCGAAAGGGAAAAAGGCTGAAAGAAAAATATCAACAGAAAAACATCGAAAAAAAGATATATGTGAAGATGATTTTTACCTTCAACATATAGTAACATTCTTTACGTAGTGTAGTTTTTGTGACCACTCTGCTGATATGAAAGTGAAATTAGTAGTAATAACGACATGATACGCTTGATGATTGACTAAAATAATTAGGAAAACAGTCCGGTATATATGCGAGTTTACGATTAACACTAAGAAAAAAGTATTTAATGAATTTTCACATGTTTGATTTTATGCTAATGGATTTAAAAATCCATAACGTGGTGGTTTCAAGGGAAAAAGCGAGACTTCATCTACTTCAGACAGCATTTAACGTCCAAGTGAAGTATTTTAAGCCTGAAATCTCGCCTTTTCTCCCTTGGGTGGTTCTTTATAAATTATTTCTTCTGTTTTATCATTTGAAACAATATTTGCTGATTGATTTCAGTCATGTCTTGAAATTAAAAGAGTATCTTTTTTTTCTCGTTATATATGTACAGTATGGAACCTATCATAATGGACACCTCCGTACAGTGAACAGTTTTGAAAGTCCCAAGTGTTACTTTTCGCTGGAAACGAACCTCTTTATAGTGGACATTACCATATAATTCTATATAATGAAGATTTTTTATGTCTAACAGTATCCAGTAGTGAGTTTAACTATACTTTAACGACTATACATTCCTCCAAAAGCAAAAATGAATGCAAAGAGAAGTAAAAATGAACAATAGCGTTCGATATCTATTCATTAATAATTTTCAAATGAATATAAAACTCATTTACTCCGTCTATAATAGCGTTATCTTAGAAAAGACCTTAGTTCTATATAGTGGACACTTTTGAAAAGACCCAACGGTGTCCACTATGGAGAGGTTTTACTGTATATATATTTATAAAAAGACGACTAACATTAAGATTGAAAATTTTTATGACTTTTCTTTTTAAATAATAAAAGTCATGAAATTATTTTTATAAAAAATAATTTTTCTAAGAAAAAAAAGATAAGATAGACGATTTTTTGATAAAGTTTTACACATAAATAAAGATAAAATATTACCTTTGAATATTTTTCATATTTAATTGATTCGTTTGAATGAATAAATAGAAGATTTTACTCTCGACTAATTTCCTTTTGAGAATCGAATGAACATATTTGAAAAGTTCGTGTAACATTTCCCAGTAGGAAATGAGGTGTCGATATATGATAGACTCTCACTGGACTTTCCAAACACGCGAATATTTATTTTCTTTATATTTCAATAAATAAATCTATCTAATGCTGCTAAAGATGGTCATGAAAAATTTCAAAATAAATCAAATTTAACAAGATTTTATTCGAGGGTGTGGGTGGGTGTAGGTGTGGGTGTGTGGGTGGGTGTGGGTGAAGCGTGTTGGTATGGATATGTGGGTGTCGGTATGCATTAAAAGATGACCCACAACCACACACCCACACCCACACGCACACCCACACCACCCACACCCACCCCACACCCCACACCCACCCACACCCACACACCCACACCCACACCCACCCACACTCCCACACCCACACCCAGCCACCCACACTCACACCCACACTCACACTCACACCCACACTCACACTCACACTCACACCCACACTCACACTCACACCCACACCCACACCCACACTCACATCCACATCCACACCTTAGCAAAAAGCAACTAATTCATTTAGAAATGAACTTAAAACTGTTAAAATCGTTGCACCTGTTTTGTATAGTGAAATTAATAGTCACCATTTTAGTAAGAAGTCAAGGATTGACAACATCAATTACATTTGCTTTACAGCTGCCATCACACAGAACTGATGATAGAAACGATGACGAAATACACAAAAATGCCTCGTGAAGAATTTCATCATTTTTTTTCTTTTTCTTTTGGCATCATATATATATAAGTAGACTTGTAAATGGTAACCTGACGTAATCGAGCAAATAAAAAAAACCTTTTTCTTATTTTTCTTTTAGAATACAATGGCATCAAATCGGTATGATATTGATGATGAAATATATATGACTGATCTATTAACAAATGAAGATATTCCTTCATTTGTTAAATATCTTAATAATCCAATAATAGCAGCTAACACATTAACAATACCATATCCATATACAACTAGAGATGGTGAAGATTTTATTCAAAAGATAAAATCAAAGTCATCAAATTCAAGACGTATTTTTAGTATTCGTTTGCAGACAAATGATGAATTGATAGGTGTGTGTGGTCTTATTCGTTCTATTGAAAATGAAAGAAAAACAGATATTGGATATTGGTTAGGTGAGCTGTATTGGCATCGTGGTTTGATGCCTAAAGCTGTCAACAAAGCGATTGAAATAATAAAAATTGAATGGAAAAATTTAGTTCGGATTGAAGCAACAATATTTCCATGGAATAAAGCTTCGATGCGTGTTGTAGAAAAATGTGGTTTCGTATTTGAAGGAATATTACGTAAACGTATATACAAAAATGGACAAGATATTGACGAACATTTATATGCATTGATTATTGATTAATATTGTTTTTCTTTCCAGAAGTAATTTTTTTCTGTTGATAAATGGTAATGGTGTGGGCTCGGGTATTACGGAAAAGAAAAGATTCACACCAGTTCAAACTGATACTCGTATCCTCTTCTGAGACACTAAGACTAGCACACAGTATTTTTCATCAAACTGTATAAGTTTGGCGAAGGAAAAGTCATTCTCATGCTTTTGAGTATCATGGAAGAGAGAGATGAAATGTGAATCATTAGTCTATACAAGTGATGTATCTTCATAAGTGTGATTATTGCGGCTCTTAAATAGAGAGAAAAGGTTGCAATATACGGATAATATAAAATTCGTTTCGTCTTTGCGGATATCACTACATTTAGTTTAAAACTGATTCAAGTTGAAACATCATTTCCAATTTTATATCGAAAATAAGTTGGATGTACTATCAGTCGTTGATGAATATTGAATCGGCGTACGTATCTGTTACTATAATTTTGTGGAATTCACGCATATTGTCGCAGAAAATAGTGATTGGAAGTTTTCAGTTCAAGTTTTGACAACGCCTCCCTCTCCATTACGGAGCTCAGCAACCGCACAGAAAAAAAGGGTGTGGGTGGGTGTGGGTATGGGTGTGGGGTGTGGGTGTGGGTGTCGGTGAGGGTGTGGGTCTCTTAGGAATAACACCCCACACCCACACCCTTCGTTCATAAACTAATCAATCAACAAACACGATAAATTAAACAACATGTGGAACGGAATATTACTCAATCACAAAGAAAGAATCAGGAAAAAAATACGTTTCAAACAAAAACAACATCTTAAAGCACAAACAAACACAACAATTACAAACGTAGTTGGGACAAGACGGTAATACCGGTACGGACAACAAAATACAAAAGAAAAAGAATTCCAGTCTCTACTGTATTGTCCGTGCCAGTATATATATAAAGAAAAGAAACAATAGATTTGACAAGTATATATGACTCATCATGTTGATTGTCTTTTTACTCTTTTATCTGCTTTGTATGTTTTACTTTGTTATGTACATTTATTTATCACCATTTAATCATTTTAATTATTCGAGAATTTCTGAAGAAGATCAATTTCATTGATCGAAACGTCAATATAATTTATAAATAAAAAAGGAAGAGAACTATTATTATAAATAAAGATCTCTTTTTATATGATTAGATGCAGAAATTGTTCTCTTTTCCTTGATACAAAAACAAAAATTATAGAGCCATTATTAACCGAGATATAGCAGATGAATCACAGGAACGCCTAAGAAGTTTACGTTTTATCGTCATTGACTCCAAATATTGTTGACCAATATACATATATTAGGGATCTGATGTTATATATCTTCTTCCATTTATTTTTACTAAATCAAAGAAATGTCCTCATACACGTACATCTTCATCCGTCACACTTACACACACACACGTATAACAACTAAGCTACATAACGAACCAAAGAGAAAAGGAATAGCGCGCATATATATATATATATCGACTACCTAGATCAAGGGTCAAACTTAAGGACAAATAATAATGAGTGATCAAGGTTA